TAGGCTAGGAGAGAATGGAGATACAGTCTAAGGCTTAAGAAAAAAATAACTGTCAACCCAGAATACTGTACCCTGCAAAGCTCTCATTTATGAATGAAGGTGAAATAAAGACTTTCCATAACAAACAGAACTTGAAAGAATTTGTCAGGACCCATCCAGCCTTGCAAAAGATGTTTAGGATGATCTGCACACAGAAACACAGAAACATGGTCATCACTAAAAAAGAAGGTAAAGGAAGAAGATCTCCAAGTAAAAGCAGAAAAGGAAATCCAAAGTAAACACACACACACACACACACAACCAAGAATATTTATGGAAAAATGGCAGGGCAAAGTTATTACTTATAGATAATCACCTTTAATGTAATGGCCTCAACTCTCCAGTTAAAGACACAGACTGGGTGAATGGATTAAAAAACAAAACCCTTCAATTTGCTGCCTGCAAGAAACACATCTCACCAACAAAGATGAATGCAGAGTAAAAGTGAATGGATGGAAAAAGATTCCATGCTAACATAAAGCTAAAAAGAGCTGGTGTGACCATTCTAAGATCAGAGAAAGTAGACTTTAACACAAAAACTGTTGGAGGAAACAAAGAGGGACACTATGTAATGATTAAGGGATAAATTTAACAGGAAGCTGTTACTATTATGAATGTAACAAATAACAGTGCACCTGGCTATTTAAAAGAAATGTAAAGGGACCTAAAGGGAGGCATAGATTCAAATACAACAACAATGGGAAACTTCAATACCCCACTTTCAGTAAGGAACACATCAACCAGACAAAAGTCAGCAAGGAAGCAATAGACTTAATTGACACTATAGACCAAATGGACCTAACAGATATCTACAGCACTTTTCATCCTATAGTTGCAGAATACACATTCTTATCAGTGTATGGAGCTTTCTCTAGGATTTAACACGTTAGGCCATAAAGCAAGTCTCATCAATATAAAAAAAATCAAAATCATACCATGCATCCTCTTGGACCACAATGGAAAAAAACTGGGAATCAGCCACTCAGAAATCTCTAGAACATACACAAGCACATGCTCCTGAATGAACAGTGTGACATAGACAAAGTCAAAAGAGAAATTAAAAAATTCTGGGAATAAATGAAGGTGATGATACAACACATCAAAACTTATGGGATATAGCAAAAGCAGTATTAAGAGGAAAGTTTATAGCACTAGGTGCCTACATCAAGAAATTGGAAAGGCACCAAATAAATGAGGTAGCAATGCATCTCAAGAATCTAGAAAAACAAAAACAAAAACAAAACACCCAAAACTAATAGGAGAAAAGACATAATTAAAATTAGAAAAGAAATCAACAAAATTAAAACCAAAAAAAAAAAGATCAGCAAAACGAAGAACTGGTTTTTTTGAAAACAATAAACAAAATTGAAAAACCATTGTCCCAAATAACCAAAAAAAAAAAGAAGACCAACATTAATAAAATTAGAGGTGAAAAATGAAATGTAACAACAGACACCACAGAAATAAAAATCATCATCAGAAATTACTACAAAGAGCTGCATGCCAACAAGCCAGGAATCCTAGTAGAAATGGGTAGATTCCTGGACACATACAACTTCCCTAAATTGAGCCATGAAGACAGAGAAAACCTAAACAGACCCATAAACAGGACAGAAATTGAATCAATAATACAGACCCTCCCAATAAAGAAAAACCAAATGGCTTCAGGACCGAATGGCTTCAATGCTGAATTCTACCAGAGATTTCAAGAAGAAGTAACTGCAATTCTTCTTGAGCTATTCAAAACAATTGAAAGAGGGAATCTTCCCAAATTCTTTCCATGAAGCCAGCATCACCATAATTCCTAAATCTGAAAAAGATGCAATTGAGAAAGAAAATTACTGACACTTTTCCTTAATGAACATAGATGCAAAAACCCTCAACAAAATCCTAGTGAATTGAACCTGACAATTCAGAAAGATCATTCACTGGACTAAGTGGCACTGATCTCTGGTATGCAGGTATGGTTCAACATTTGCAAATCAATCAATGTGATACATCACATTAACAAACTAAAGAACAAAAACAATATGATTATATCATAGATAAAGAGGAAAACATTTCATAAAATATAACACCCTTTCATGATTAAATCTCTAAGCATTTGATACATACAACATGATTTTATGATGAAAACTCAAATAAATTGGGTATAGAAGGAACATTCTTCAACATGACCAAGACAATATAACAAACCCACAGCCAGCATCCTAGTGAATGGGGAAAAGTTGGAAGCATTCCTATTGATCTGGAACCAGGCAAGGATGCCCAATATCACAACTGATATTCAATATAGCCTTAGAAGATTTATCCAGAGCCATTAGAGAAGAAAAAGAAATCAAGGTATACAAATTAGGAAGGAGGGTGTCAAACTCTCCCTATTTGCAGATGACATGATTCTATGTATAGGGGATCCAAGAGACTCCACTAAGAGACTACTGGAACTCATAGCAGAGTTTGGTAATGTAGCAGGATATAAAATCAATCCACAAAAATCAAGAGCCTTTGTATACACAGACAATGTCATGGCTGAGAAAGAACTTCTAAGATCAATCTCATTCACAATAAGTACAAAAAATCATATACCTTAGAATAAACTTTTTTATTTTTTTGACAGGAAGAGTGGACAGTGAGAGAGAGAGAGAGAGAGAGAGACAGAGAGAAAGGTCTTCCTTTTGCCATTGGTTCACCCTCCAGTGGCCGCCACTGCTGGCGCACTGCGGCCAGCGCACCGTGCTGATCCGATGACAGGAGCCAGGTACTTATCCTGGTCTCCCATGGGGTGCAGGGCCCAAGTACTTGGGCCATCCTCCGCTGCACTCCCTGGCCACAGCAGAGAGCTGGCCTGGAAGGGGGGCAATCGGGACTGAATACAGTGCCCCGACCGGGACTAGAACCTGGCATGCCGGTGCTGCAAGGTGGAGTATTAGCCTGGTGAGCTGCAGCACTGGCCAGAATAAACTTAATCAAGGATGTCAAAACTCTCTCTGGAGGCGACTTCCTCTGAAGGGAGGAAGGAACCTCCACTGTGATACGGTCTTGACTAAACAAGTTCAGAGTCAGTGAACTCAAGGGGCTTCCATAGCCTAGACGGCTCATAGCAAGAGTTTCGGGTGATTGCTGATGTCATAAATAAGAGTGCCAGTTGTTAAATCAACAATGGGAGTCACTGGGTACATGCTCCCCATGTAGGATCTCTGTCCTTAATGTGTTTTACTATGAAACTTAAAAACAACACTACTAATCGAACAATACCCTATACCTTGTGCGTTTGTGTAAGTGCAGCCTGTTGAAATCCTTGCTTCATATATACTAAGTTGATCTTCAGTATATGAAGGCAATTGAAAATGAAACTTGATGAAGGGTGGGATGGGAGAGGGTGTGGGAGAGGGGAGGGCCACAGGAGGGAGGGAGGTTGGGGGGGAAGCCACAACAATACAAAAGTTGTACTTTGTAAATTCACATTTATTAAATTAAAAATAACTCTCTCTGATGAGAATAAAAAACATTAAAGAAAGAAATAGAAGATGACACAAAAAAATGGTAAAATCTTCCATGTTCATGGATTGGAAGAATCAATATCATCCAAATGTCTATATGTCCAAAAGCACTTTACAGATTAAGTAAGGTACAAATAAAAATACCAAAGACATTCTTCTCAGATATAGAAAAAGTGATGCTGAAATTCATATGGAAACACAGGAGATCCCAAATAGCTAAAGCAATCTTATACAACAAAACAATGCCAGAGGCATCACAATACCAGATTCCAAGACATACTACAGGGCAGTTTTAATCAATACAGCTGGATACTGGTACAAAAACAGATGGATAGACAAATGGAATAGAATAGAAATCAATCCAATCCAAACATTTACAACAAACTTGTATTTGAAAAAGGAGCTAAGGTCAATCCCTAGAGAAAGACAGTTTCTTCAACAAATGGTGCTGGGAAAACTGCATTTCCACATTCAGAAGCATGAAGCAAGAAACTACCTTATAACTTACACAAACATCCACTCAAAATCGATTAAACACATAAATCTACACCCTGATACCATCAAACTATAAGAGAACATTGGGGAAACCCTGCAAGACATTGGCATATACAAAGACTTCTTGGAAAAGACCCCAGAGGTACAGAAATCAAAACCAAAATTCACAAATGGGATTCCAGCCAATTGAGAAGCTTCTGTGAAGCAAATGAAACACTCAGGAAAGTGAAGAGGCATCCAAGAAAATGCGAGCAATTATTTGTAAACTATTCAACTCATAAAGGTTTAGTAACCAAAATATGTAAAGTGTGGAGAATGTGACTGGAAATTGGAGAGGGAGGAAGATAAGGGGTGGGAGAGTGTGTAGAAGGGCAGGTATGGTAGGAAGAATCACTCTATTTCTAAAGCTGCACTTATGGAATGCATGAAGTCTGTATTCCTCATACAAGAGATTTCTTTGTGGAGAACAATTTTAAAAGATAAAAATTTTTAGAAGTCCATCTACACAATGGGCACTGTAACACCAGCAAAAGCTAAAATACATGAATCAAGGACCTAAATCCATGACCTGATACTATCAAATTACTAGAGCACATTGGGGAAAGTCTACAAGACATTGGCATGGGCAAGGACTTCTAGGAAAATACCCTGAGGCACAGGTAAACAAATCCCATTGACAAATGGGATTACACAGAGCTGAGAAGATTCTGCACTGCAAAATAAACATTCAAAACAGAGAAGAGGCAACCAACTGAATGGGAGAAAATATTTCCAAACTGCAATTATGCCACTGAATTGTACACTTAAAAGTGGTTAAAATGGCATATTTTGTTAGTTAACACAGTAAAAAAAAGAAGAAACTTACTTGTTCTGGCAAATATGAACTCAACATTCTTATCAGTTACAAAATTGGAAATTTCATAACACACATAAAAAACTTGATGTAACAGATATATTATAACTCACCAAGTCTTCTCTAGGTTGTAATTTAGAGACTTTGGAACTTTAGGGTAATTTCCACTGGAGTTATTCTGACTACTGTATGCATATCTATATTTATTCTCTTTATCAGGTCATCTGGAATCAGAAATTTAAAAAGAAAGAAAAATATAATATAATTACATTCAAATTAAATGTTAGGTATTATCTTTGAGGAGTTTACATTTGTGAAAGTTGACAACCAATGGAAAAGTTGGACTAGTCAAAGATAATCACCGGAGCAGGTGCTGTGGCCCAGGAGGTTAACACCATGGCCTGAAGTGCCACCATCTCATACAGGTGACAGTTCAAGTCCCAGCTGCTCTACTTTCAATCCAGCTCTCTGCTATGGCCTGTGAAAACATAAGAAGATGGCCTGAGGCCTTGGGCCCCTGCACTCCCGTGGGAGACCTGGAAGAAGCTCCTGGCTCCTGGCTTTGGATCAGTCCAGATCTGGCCATTGCTGCCAACTGGGGAGTGACCCATCTGATAGAAGACTGCTCTCTCTCTCTCTCTCTTTCTCCCCTCTGTGTAACTCTGACTTTCAAATAAATGATAAAAAATAAATCTTTAAAAAACAAAGATAATCACAGATCATCTGCTATAGGCACAATTAAATCCACATAAAAACTTAATGAATAAAGTAGAGTGTAAAAGTTCCCACATCCATTGATGAAAATGGTCTAAACTTATGAAGAGTTAAAATTGTATATGTGCGGATGTAAAAAGTTAAGCTTAAGCTTACAGGTTTAAACCTTCCTGGTGCAGCTGTGAAAATAAGACAGAGTAAAGTAGCACCTTGACAGTAGGGACTCCATTTTGGAGCACTTCTGGGAAAGCAACCCCCCCCCCCCCACCGTGAGACTCTGGTCTGAAACTATGATCTCAAATAGTCGGACAATAGCAGTGCACTACATCACCCTTGGCAGAGCACAAAAACCCCCTAGCATGATTGCTCAAGCTTAAAAGTAGAAAGGTTGCACCTGGGTTACCTGGGCTAATAATAAAGATGTGATTTGTATGTGTCTTACATTAATGTCAAGTCCTAATTGCTAATTGTAATATTGTAACTGGTATTGTCAAGATTATGATAAATATTAATTTCACTTAGGTTTTAGGTTATGTTGACCCCAGTAACCATATACTCTCTTTTGATTTTATGTACTCTCTTTTGATTTTAGCAACTGTGTATAACAACCATGCATAGCAACCATGTATTCCCCCCTTCCCGGTTTTGCGGTTTTTGCCTTTATAAACCCTAACCTTTGGTTATTCGGGGCTGCTCTGCTCATGATGATCAGACAGCCCCAGCATGCTGGATAATCAATAAAACTTCCCCGTGCTGTTTGCATAAGAGACGTGTCTCTTGGTGACGTTTTTCGGGCGGTCGACTCTAACACTTAGATTGTGATAGTTGTACAACTATTACTAATACACTAAAGTCAACTGAATTGTACATTTCAATTTTATCTCAATGAAGATGTTTAAATTTTTTCTCAGGGTTAGTGAGGTGGTGTGGTGAGTTAAGTTGCCTCTTACATTGATGGCATCCCGTATTGAGTACTGCTTCAAGTCCTGGCTGCTATGTTTCCAATGCAGCTCCTGTTAATGTACCTTGGAAAGCAGCAGCAGATGGCTCAGAAAACAGAAAACAATGATCTGGAGCTTTAGAAAATGATGTAGGCAAAGATTAAAGCTTTGCACGTTATTTGCACAAGGTCATAGATGAGACTGTGGGAATAGAAACAAAAACCTACCAAGGAAACACTTTCCTTTCCTATTTTCCATCCTTTCCCTAAGCTTGCCCCTCTTTATCACATTGAAGTTTCACTTCACAGTGGCTCAACGTTATGTCCAGGTACACAGAGCTGGCAACTCATGCTATACAAATTCAGCATTAGCATCCAGGGCAAGCATGAGGGGTAAGAACACTGTTGTCCCTGTCTACTTCCTCTCCCAGATGTGCACATTAAGAGCACACACTAGCCGCATAAGCAACTTTGAGTGCATTCCCACCAAGGCACAAGCAGGGAGGGTATCACACACACCAGATCTCCTCCTATACTGGGTATTTTCCTGCACTTTCCAGAACATTGGAATAAACCTCCTCTGAGGCTCCTTAGGGCATCCCATGCTAAGAGTGACCCCTGGACCCAGTCTAAAGGTTGGAACTCTTGTACTACCTCATACAACTTTGCAACCTCAGGCAAGTATTTTGTACCATCTAGGCCTATATCAGTCCCAACATTTACTTGCCCAAGCTTACTTGGCCACAAAGACTTGACACTGCAGAACCATGCCCCTCCCCATGACTCTTTTTTTTTTAACTTTTATTTAATGAATATAAATTTCCAAAGTAAAGCTTGTGGATTACAATGGCTTCCCCCCCATAACTTCCTACCCAACTGCAACGTTCCCCTTTCCCGCTTCCTCTCCCCTTCCATTCACATCAAGATTCATTTTAAATTCTCTTTATATACAGAAGATCAGTTTAGCATATATTAAGTAAAGATTTCAACAGTTTGCACCCACATAGAAACACAAAGTGAAAAATACTGTTTGAGTACTAGTTATAGCATTAAATCACAATGTACAGCACATTAAGGACAGAGATCCTACATGAGGAGTAAGTGCACAGTGACTCCTGTTGTTGACTTAACAAATTGACACTCTCATTTATGGCATCAGTAATCACCCTAGGCTCTTGTCATGAGTTGCCTAGGCTATGGAAGCCTTTTGAGTTCACCGACTCTGATCATATTTAGACAAAGCCGTAGTCAGAGTGGAAGTTCTCTCCTCCCTTCAGAGAAAGGTACCTCCTTCTTTGATGACCTGTTCTTTCCACTGGGATCTCACTCACGGAGATCTTTCATTTAGGTCATTTTTTTTTCAGAGTGTCTTGGCTTTCCATGCCTGAAATACTCTCATGGGCTTTTCAGCCGGATCCACATGCCTTAAGGGCTGATTCTGAGGCCAGAGTGCTGTTTAGGATATCTGCCATTCTGTGAGTCTGCTGTGTATCTCGCTTCCCATGTTGGATCATTCTCTCCCTTTTTTATTCTATCAGTTAGTATTAGCAGACACTAGTCTTGTTTATGTGATCCCTTTGGCTCTTAGTCCTATCATTATGATCAATTGTGAACAGAAATTGATCACTTGGACTAGTGAGATGGCACTGGCCTCCCCTGTGACTTTAAGCATTGCCTTTTATAATATTGGTTTCCAATTTACATATTAAAATGTATTCTAGGGGGCCAGCTCCATAGCACAGTATGTTAATCCTCCACCTGTGTCACCGGCATCCTGTATGGGCCCTGGTTCTAGTCCTGGGTGTCCCTCTTCCAATCCAGCTCTCTGTTATGGCCTGGAAAATCTTTAGGAGATAGTCCAAGGCCTTGGGCTTCTGCATCTGTATGGGAGACTGGGAGGAAGCACCTGGCTCCTGGCTTTGGATTGGTGCACCTCAGCCATTGTGGCCATCTGGGGAGTGAACCAACAGAAAGAAGACCGTTTTCTCTGTCTCTTCCTCTCACTGTCTGTAACTCTACCTGTCAAATAAATAAAACCTTTTTTAAAAATGTTATTCTAATTCATGAATATTATATAAACTTTCCCCAAAATCTTAAAATGTATACTAATCCAACTTTACCAAAATTGGAGAGCTTCTACATTTTTTCAAAGATTTATTTATTTATTTGAACATCAGAGTTACACAGAGAGAAGGAGAGGTAGAAGGAGAGAGAGAGGTCTTCTATCCACTGGTTCACTTCCAATAGACCACAATGGCTGGAGCTGAGCCAATCTGAAGCCAGGAGCCAGGAGCTTCTTCTAGGTCTCCCACATGTGTTCAGGGACACAAGCACTTAGGCCAACTTCTGCTGCCTTCCCAAGCCATAGCAGAGAGCTGGATCTGAAGTGGAGCAGCTGAGACTTGAACCAGTGCCCATATGGGGTGCCAGCAGCTGCTTTACACTCTCTGCTACAGTGTTGGCCCCAAGCTTCTACAACTTTGCTGTAATTTTAGAGTATTGTTCAAATCCTCAAGACCATTCCAGATGACATTCAGCACATGAGCCTGTCCAACTCCTTGACTGTAATCTGAGGCAATGTGGTTTTGATCTGGTGGCTCTCACATTGGCTTCTCTTTTTCAGGTGAAAGGACATTTTGCTTGGGTTTATTTTGCCACTGCTCAGGAGAAAGTAGCTTAGTTGGCTTTCCATAGGTCACAGTGATGCTCTCACAGTCCACTGAAATCTCACAGTATGTTTCATAAGACCCAGAAACTCCCACAGTATATAACTGAAATTGCTTGGGTTGAAATCCTTCTCTCATTCCCTGTGTTCTCTTCCAAAACTGTGAAATTCCCCCATGTATATCATCTGCTTTTGAAAGTGTATTCTTTTTGGCTAGCCATGTGTTTGGCTGAATCAGGAGTCTGATATCAGTGTTGAGCCTTCTGTAAGAGGCTGCTGGCATCAGTGCAGCTGTGTAGAATACACAGTTCTAACTGCATGTTCGTCTAGGCTCTGAATTCAGTGCTATGCTGGAGTGTATGAAGGTAAATCTTACAACAGTAACTGGCAATTTGGATAAATTTATACTGTTGTGGACAGACTGAAACAAGAAAAATGGCTTTTGGGAAAACTTTCTGAATTTGTTTCAGAAGATGCTGTTTAAGGGAAGTAATGTGTAGCATCTATAATAAACAAACACACAGCTCACTTTACATTCTGCCCCTTCCCTTTGTGGGTTTATTATGTACATTCAAGGGATATAACATGATGTCATAGGATACACATAGTTAAAATTAATATATTCAAGCAAATTAACATATCCATCCTCTAACATAGAGACCCAGGGTTTTTTGTTTGTATGGCAAAAGCAGCCAGAATCTACTTATTTATAATGAATTTCTTTTTTTTTCCCTCCTTTTATTGTGCTTTATTTACTTTATTGTGTTTCACAGATATTGTATTTTTCACAAATTGAAGATTTATGGAAACTCTGCTTCACAAGTCTGTGGTTCCATTTTTTTCCTTCAAAAATCACGTGCTCAGTTCATGACTCTGTTTAACACTTTGTTAATTCTAGCAATATTACAAAGTTTTTAAAATAGATTTATTTATTTATTTGAAAATAAGAATTACAGAGAGAGAAAGAGAGGGATGGAGGGAGGGAGGAAAGGAGGTAGGGAGAGAGAGAGAGAGAGAAAGAGAGACTTTCCATTTGCTAGTTCACTCCCCAAATGGCTTCAATGGCCAGAGCTGGACCTGGCCAAAGCTAGGAGACAGGAGCTTCCTCCAGGTCTCCCATGCGGGTGCAGGGGCTCAAGTACTTGGGTCATCTTGTGCTGCTTTCCAAGGCCATAGCAGAGAGCTGGATTCAAAGTGGAGTAACTGGAATTCAAACCAGCACCCACATGGGACACTGACTCTGCTGATTGTGGCTTAATCTGATGAGTCACAGCACTATTCCAAATATTCCAAAATTTTAAAAATCATTATATATAACTAGTGAACTTGTTTTGAAAAGAGTTGTTTATTTATTTGAAAGGCAGAGTGACAGAGAGAGAGATCTCTTCTATCTGCTAGGTAACTCCCCTAATGCCCAAAAGATCTTTGACAGAGTCAGACTGAAGCCAAGAGCCAGGAACTCCATCAATTTCTCCAACCTGGGTGGGTGGGGACTCAAGTACTTGAGCCATCATCTCATGCTGCCCAGGCACATTAGCAGGGAGCTGCATCAGAAACAGAGTAGCTAGGACTTAAATCAGTATGTCAGTATTCTGTTTGTTTCAGGATGCCATAAGTTGTGTTCATACAAGACAGCAAATTTATCAGATGAATATTGTGCATTTACTGACTACTTTATCTACTGACTCTCCAACTCTCTCCTTTCTTTTCAGGCTTCTCTCTTCCCCAAGACACAATAATATAGAAACTACACTAACTAATATTCCTTAAATGCCTTCTAAGTGTTCAAGTGAAAGGAAGAGTCATGCATTATATCCCTGTAAATCAAAAGCTGGAATACTAAGCTTCTTGAGGAAGACACGTGGAAAGTGCAGATATGCCTAGGGCTGAGCCTCTTGCACCAATCATCCATGTTGTGAAGAAAAGGAAAAGTACTTCAAAGAAATTAAAATGCTATGCTTGTGAACACGCAATGGAATGAGTATAAGCCAGCCTTACTGCTGATAGGAAGAAAGTTTCCATGATCTGAACAGAAGATCAAGCATTTGCTTAAACCAAAAACTAACCCAGAGACAGGTCACAGTGTTGCATATAATGAATTTCAATTCCAGTTCATTTTTTACCTGTATTCCTCATGTTTATTCACTATTCTCATAACTCAAACCAACTCAGAATATATAACAAAACTCAGAGAAGAAAAATCTGAAAACACTGGTATCTAGAAGAAGTTTGTTTCATTGGCCAGTAATTTCCAGTCCTCTGCCAGGAGCAGCTTCACCTCAATTTGTTGACAGGACACTACACAGGAGCAAAGCTTGAGAAATGCTCCAAAAGTTTAAAATCTGAAGCTATTTTGAAAAAAACTTCTGTATCTTCAGAAAATCGGTGCTTATATAATCTTATGTGTAGTCTTTTGTGTGACAATATTTATTATGTATCTGTTATTAGCTACCCTTGACATACTTAGCATTCTGGGAAAAATTATTTCACAACCAACTAAAGAATAAGGGAAATACATCTCTTCAGTCTCAGTATTGCTGCATTTTATAAAAATATTTTTTTTTCAAAAAATAAGTATGAGCATGCAAGACAAAATGATAAAGTCATCAAGTCATGCTTGATCTAACTCACAAATACATATTACCTCTGTAAGTTTACCAACGGTTAGTTGTTAAACCATGCTGCTTCCAGGAAAGTGAACACATTGAGCTGAGATCAGAATCAATAATTTAGATAATAAGCACCCCCATTATAATCTTAAAGATACATGAAACATTGGTTCACCCTCCAATGGCTGCCACAGCTGGCACGCTGCAGCTGGCGCACCACGCTGGTCCGATGGCAGGAGCCAGGTACTTATCCTGGTCTCCCATGGGGTGCAGGGCCCAAGTACTTGGGCCATCCTCCACTGTACTCCCTGGCCACAGCAGAGAGCTGGACTGGAAGAGGGGCAACTGGGACAGAATCCGGCACCCCGACTGGGACTAGAACCTGGTGTGCCACTGCCGCAAGGCAGAGGATTAGCCTAGTGAGCCGCGGCGCCGGCTTCTTTGATATATTTAGTAGGGAAAAACATTGAGAACATTCTTTATGATCTCTTCTTAAAATCCAAAGGGTCTAGTGAGACCCCCAAACAACAGGAAAAATTCACACCAAGACTGGGAATGGGGATATGGGAAAATCCCAGTTTTTGCTTTCAATTGTAAAATATAATAAATGCATGTTACTCCTATAGTTTAAAATCTGTTTAAAGGATTCAATTGGCAAAAAAAAAAAAAAAAAAAAAAAAAAAAGAATTAAAAACAGACACAATTCCTTAGCTTTGAGGCTTGCAATCATGCCCATTAAATTCCTAGGCAAGGAACCAATATTGTGGCATACCAGGTAAAGCCAGTGCCTGTAATGCCAGCATCCCATATGTGCACTAGTTGGAGTCCTCGCTGCTCCACTTCCAATCCAGGTCTCTGCTAATGTGCCCGGGAAAGCAGCAGATTTGGCACAAGCCCTTAGGTTCCTGCACAGATTGGTGACCCATAAGAAGCTCCTAGCTCTGGTTGCAGCCATCTGAGAAGTGACCAGCAGATGGAAAATTTCTCTCTGTGTCTGTCATTCTCTCCATAGCACCTCCTTTCAAATAAATAAAATAACTCTTTTAAAAAATTAATAGGCAAGACTAAAGTAGGAAAATAACCCATTATGGAATTGGCATTTTTAGTCAAGACCATGGAAAGCTAGAAAATAAAGTTCAATAACAGTAAAACCCAGTAATTCATAAAGGAAGAGGAATTTCACAAAAACAGAATTAGTAAACCTAAGCAGTGTGTAAAAAAAAATAGAACACAAATAAATCAAGTATGGTAAACTACAAGATAATGACTTAATCACTTGAATATCCTTGTCTGGGTATGACAATACATAAGTTGGGTATCATCTCACCTCATTTAAAAAACATCTGAACTTTTCACTCTCTTTGCTATATTGTGACATCAGAAGAAATTCATTCCCATTACACTTTGTGCTTACCTGGGCCTCTATTTGGGAGTCCCAGTTTAGACCAACTTGTGTCAGTTGCAGCCACATTTTCACCATGATCACTACAATGCCTGCCTTCCATCCAGCTCTCAAATCCAGGCTACTTCCAGAGCTTGACTTGATTCATGTAAAAATGAGAAGGAAAAAGGTTTTAAAAGTTTGTAACCTGTTTTTTTTTATCCACACAAATATAAAACTATTGTACTCCACACATACAAGATGAGTTCTGCAGAACTGAAGATCTCTCTTATCCATATTTGTCATAACATTCAGAAACTTATTTTCATTTCCAACAGTCAGTGCTGGTGATGACACAGATGAAACCAATGCCCTCATATTCCTATGACCACATACAAATTGATTCAACCATCTCAGAATTCAAAATGGTAACAGGTTGCCCATAAATTTACACAATCTTGGATAAGTAAATAAGTCAGCATGGTATTCCAAATTCATGACTGAAAGATCACACCAGAAAATTTTCTGCAGAATTTCTAACAGTGAAATCTTAAGGCTGTCTTAAAGCCTATCAACAGCGAGATTATAGTTAAGTAAAATATAAACTTATTATTTTAGTAACATGATTAGAAGCATATATCATGAGCTCTAAAGATTATAGATTTAGGATTCTAAACTGCCAACCAAATGCAATACCCACTCCGCATTTATTTCTTCCTTATCAGAGTGGGAAGGTATGGTATGGGACAGTAAAGACAGGGCCGACCCAGACCTGCAAAGACCACCGAGAAACAGCCTGCCCTCCTGGGAGCCGCGGCCTGGCCTCTGCACGGCCCGGCGCCCAACTGCGCACAAGACCCGGAGGGACTCCGCCACATCCCACCCCAGACCGCCGTCCAGGTTTCCCGGGACCGGCGCATCTCCCACAGCAGCTGGGCCACGAGGCGCCGCGGCAAGCGGAGGACGCAGTCTCAAGCACGGGTGAATGGCCGGGCCGCCTCCCCAGCCCCGCGCGGCGATCGCAGCCTCACACTGCAGTGTGGCCCCGCCGCCTGGGAAATGGCCGCCCTAGCGGTTGTCTGACTCCAACGGAGAAGATAGATCGCCCCGCCCCCTGAGGTCCCGCCCCCTCTCCCCGCCCTGCGTCCCGCCAGGTGCCCTGTGGTGGGGAGGCGGGAGCAAGTCTCTCACATCCTCTCTGCGGGGCTGCCAGGGGGCGGCACCACGTCTCTTCAGTCCGTGCTCTCAGGAAATGATGACCGATGCTGTCGATTCTCCAGCCAATCCTGGCACGCCTTGATCTATCCTACTTCCGGGCAAGATGGCGTCCAGTGGCGGGCACTTTGGAGGCTTATTTGAGCGCCGCCTAGAAAAAAATATGCAATACGGGCCAAACCTCAGGAGGGAGGACGGCTTCACTCCGTCAAGGTAAAACGATTTCAATTTCATTCATTATCCTTGGGGGCGCTAAGTGAACGTCAGCACCAGGCAGCCAGCCTACAAATAGAAAGTGACGTGGCTGCTGGCAAGGCGCTCACTGTGCAGGGCCAAATGGAGCAGGTACCAGAGTGTGACCACGGCTGTGCTGACGTCAGTGTGCGGGTGTCCTCTGTGTTGACGGCAATACTTGAGCATGGTACTAAGCACTGGAAGAATATTTGAGTGACGTTCAGAATAATTTCTACCCAGGCAACTTCTGGAAAAAATATGAACTGAAGTTACTTTGTTATGTGCTTTAGTTAGATACCTACTCACCTGAATTGTGTTTCTTTTTTCATGCAGATAAAGTAGCAACATTTTTTGTTTTGTGTGCATTTTGCACACCGGTTGAGCAGGATTTTTTTTTTTTTTACAAAACTCCATTTTAATATAAGGGCAAATGACTCTTAAGCTTCACTGTGAAATACAGATCAAAAACAAAGAAAAATATTACTTTGTGTTTTTAATATTAATAGACTTTGTTATTTTTTGTTATTTCTGTATATCATAAATCCAACACTAGGAACATAGTAATTCTTCCCACTCACTCTCCCCCCTTCATCCTCCTTCTCCTGTTTATTCTAAGAAAGAAAAAGAAAGGAAAAAAAGAGTGAGAAACAATCCATTTAGTAATTTAATTGTCTTTAAAGAAGAACCCAAGAATGTTTCATCTTTTGGGAGCCCTTAGACATAATGATAACTTACAGGACATAATAATATCCTCCATTTAATACACTAAAAGGAAGTGATTCTTGATAATACATTTTACTATTAAGTCTCATGATGCAACTCTGGGGACAGAGGTCCTGCATGAGAAGTTAATGCACAGTGACTCTTGTTATTTATTTAACAAATAGGACTCTTAAGTATGATATCAGTGATCATCCAAAGCTCTTAACATGAGTTGTCTTGGCCTTGGAAGCCTTTTGGATCCACTAGTTTGACAAGGCAGAGTATCACTATTCTGCCACCTTGGACCTCATTGGTTTAAATGGTTTAGATTTTGCAAAAGTGATCCCAAGTGACTTCTAGCTTAAAACAGCATGCAGACTCACTTTTATTTTAAGAAGTAATGTAAAGTCACAGGAAGTCATTGATGTAATTTGAATGCACATCTGTCTAAGGATCACAGCCCTACTTGCTGTAGTGTGCTAGATTGGGAAGTAGGTGGCAGTGAGTAGGAAGTAATGAAAAGCAAAAAGGCACTGCACCCTTCCATACCTGGTCTCCTCCCAGTTGTAATCCTCTTTGTACCCAGGCCAGCAGGTAACACACAAGAATCTAGTACTATGACTGTCCTAGGAAGTTCGGTCAACCAGGGACCCTCAGTCACCATTCTCCATGTCATTTAGAGTAGGAATGTGTACAAACACCATCGTCTTGGTGATAAACTCCCTTGCCTGCTGGCAGCAACTGTGCCTGGAGTTCTGGGCTGAATGCTAATTCCTTCTAGAACTTTGGAACCAGATTCTAAGGCTGAGCATTTTGTGTTCCATGAGAAACCCATGATGGTTCAATTCTTCCCTGTGGGTTTGTTCTGTCCTGGGAGCTTTCAGGACCTATCATTCCACTGAAATTTCCAAACATTTGAATCATTGGTTTATGGCACAAGTGTTGGGCTGGATACTTGAAGTGCCTTTTGAAATGAAAACACACATGCCTAAGTTACCATCATTCCCACCATTTTGTCCTTATCTTTCTACTTTGAGGTCATGGCTTCCCTTGCAGAGGGCTGTGTCCAGGGCCCAGTTCAGCTGCCTGTCATGTTTCCAGAGAGGCTATTCAACTCATTTAGAGAATGTCTCCCTGCCAAGTGGGTATGAAAATCCCTGTCCCCAAGACCAGGCCCTGAATCCCTCCCTGGCTTCTAGGTGGTTCCATGACAGTTGACAAAAGACTTCACAGTTGTGACAGTGGGAGGTTTTCCAGGGTTCTACTTGTGGGCCCATTGTTATCACCTGGAAGTGATGTGGCAGGAGGGGCAGTGGAAGGGGACTGGAGCCTCAGTCCTGTAGGTACATGGGACACAGTTTGCCCCACACTCAGCATCAGCTGAAAACTGGAATCTCCTTGGAGCTGCCAGGCAGGGCACAACCTAGTAGATACTTGGACATGGACCTGGTTGGCTCATGGGCCTACAACCTGCAGTTCAGCTAAAGTGCATTCAGGTAGCAGCAGACAACCAACAAGTGGGTGTGAGAAGGGAATGGAAGTGCCTGGAGCAGACCCTGCAGGTACTGCACAGAAGGCATTTTGGAGTCCAGAACCTATCTGGGCTAGGAAGGACCCCATCCCCACACACACTCACACTCATTGTCCTGCCAACAAGGCCTGCTGCCTTCATTCCATCATGACAACTCTTCTCAGTGCTCAGCCCTCCTTGTGAGCTTACTGCAAATGTCTTTTAATGTTTTTCCCATGATTTTCTCAAGAGTTCCTGCACAGAGAGAACTTGATGACATGACTAAAAGTCATATGGCACATTGGGTTTTATTCCTCCTGATCTTTGTTTTTAAATTATTTTATTTCTGAGGCAGAGAGACATGAAGACAGAGATAGAGCTAAAGACAGGCAGATACTCCACCCACTGGTTCATTCTCAAATGCCTAAAACAGCCAAGGGTTGGTCAGGGACTGAAGCCAGGAGCCAGGAGTCAGGAATGTAATCTAGGTCACCCTGCTGGGTGAGAAAAACACAACTACTGAGCCATCACCTGCTGCATCCCAGGGTATGCATTAGTGGGAAGATGGAATCAAGAGCAGACTCAGGACTCAAACGCAGACACTCCAATCTGGGATGCTGGAATCCTGACTGGTGTCTACATGACCAGGTCAAATGCAAGCCCCACAAATGACAAATTTACAATTTTGTCAGTTATGCGTAGCATATTGGGAGAGTCAAACCCCATTGTTAGGTTCAGATATGAAATATCAGATCAATGCACATAGAAATCACAAATGCCAACCTTTGATGAGTGGAGTTCACTTCCCAGATCTCTTTGTGTAACTGCAGGCAGGCACTTAATCCATCTGAACCACAATTTGCTATTTCCACAGTAGAGACACACACCTGTGTCTGACCACAGGCTTGGAGAGAGATTTCAGCTGGGAGCTGAACAGAGGGTATGGAGGACATTGGATTTGTCAGAGTATATCTGTAGGGAAGCTCACCATTGCCATGACCTTGATTTTTGTTCTGTGACTGCAGATGGGTGGATAGTGTACCCACCTACCCAGTGGGGAAAAAAAAAAAGGAGCATGTTTTTCTCTCCTCATCTCACCCACAATGGCACCAGACAACCAGCTGAGAGAGGGCGGTGCCATTTTGGGCAAAAGCAGCCGTTGTGAAAGCTCTTGTGCTTGAGCCCAGCAGCCAGCTGGGACAACACATCATGTCAGCAGTACCGATGGCAACAACTCAGGTGCACACAATCAGCAACCAGTGGAGAGAAGGGAAAAGTTGGTTGGCACTCTTGTGCACAGCTGTGATCCAGAGATTATAGCAGAGGGGAGAAGCAAGTTCTCCACTGACTTTAAGTCTGTCTGGGGGGATTGATAGGGGGATGAGCATGCAAGCAGCAATATGAGTTGCCCCCATTTGTTCAACATATCACAGGCTCTGGGGCTCAAGCCTCCTAGGCAGAAAACCCACAGGCAGCTGGCTCTGGAAACATCTTTGACTTTCTGCAGTCATGACAGGTTACCAGGGAAGGGTGGGTCCTCTGGACCCCATGATGGCAGGAGTAGTGTGCTGAGACTGTGGCAATTCTGTGACTGCACAAGAGAGCTCAAGGTGTAGCTAGATCTCTGGACAATTATTGTGTGTGATTCCATATGCTCAGAGCTCCCTGATTGCCTGGGGTGGGATTGCAATGGGATCTGTGCTCATAATGAGAACTGCACAGATCCTTTGTGTGGTTCATATGGCAATGTGGATAAAATTTTCACCCACTGTGAACTAAAACCTAGGTTATAGTTCACTTGGAAGAGAGGAGGTGAGGGTGTGATTACATCAACAGAGGTGACCTTTCTGCTAAAAAGAGATCTACCTCGCCCAACTTGGATATCATCATGAATATGGACCCATCCTGCAGCAGTGACCAGAGCTCCCTGGCCACACTCGGCACATGCCTCTGGGGTTTCACTGAAAGAGCAGATACCCCCACTAAGCCACAGAGGCATAATTCAAAGATAAAAGCCATCAGAGCAAAAACCAACAAGTATTTTTCCACAAATGCTTAAAAATGCAGAAATTCAAGAAACAGAAAAAGGAAGACAACAGGAATCCCCCAAATGGACACAACAATACTTCCATATTTGAAAGTGAATATGGAAGAGATTGATTAAATTCCTCAAGTGGAATTCAAAAGATTAATCATAGGATTACTCAAAAGCAATGAGAAGTATATTCATGAATTAAAGAAATCCATACATGCCATGAATGACAAATTCTTCCATGAAATTGAGATTTTGAGGAGAAATCAAACTGAAATATTAAAACTGAATAATTCAGTATGTTTTTCACATATTGCATACGTATAAAGCCATAACAACAGATTTGGTGAGGCAGGAGAAAGAGCTAGAAGACAAATCTTTGGAAATTTCTCACACCAAAAAAATTGAAGATATTATAAAAATTAAAAACAGTATTGTAGAGAAAAAACAACTGTCAACCTAGAATTTTTTTTTGGTCTTTCTTTCATTTTATTCTTTAATTTTTTTAACTTTTATTTAATGAATATAAATTTCCAAAGTACGGCTGATGGATTACAATGGCTTCCCCCCATAACGTGCCTCCCACCCGCAACCCTCCCATTTCCCACTCCCTCTCCCCTTCCAATCACATCAAGATTCATTTTCGATTCTCTTTATATACAGAAGATCAGTTTAGCATACATTAAGTAAAGATTTCAACAGTTTGCTCCCACACAGAAACATAAAGTGAAAAATAATAGATGATTTTTTAAATGATGATGAAATCAGATCAGACCTATTGTCATGTTTAATCCCAGTGAGAGTCAAGTTGGGAATTGATAATTTCTTCTCCTCCTCCTCCTCCTCCTCCTCCTCCTCCTCCTCCTCCTTCTTCTTCTTCTTCTTCTTCTTCTTTTTTACAAAAGATCAGTTTAGTATACATTAAGTAAATATTTCAACAGTTTGCACCCACATAGAAACAAAAAGTGAAATATACTGTTTGAGTACTCGTTATAGCATTAAGTCTCAATGTACAGCACATTAAGGACAGAGATCCTACATGAGGAGTAAGTAATCTCCCTATGCTCCAGTCATGAGTTTCCAAGGTTATGGAAGCCCCTTGAGTTCTCCAACTCTTATCTTGTTTAGACAAGGTCATAGTCAAAGTGGAGGTTCTCTCCTCCCTTCAGAGAAAGGTACCTCCTTCTTTGAAGACCTGGTCTT